TTTTTTTTTTGTGTCTGTTACCACTTTTTCTCAGCTCTCACCGAACCAATTTCTTTTAATGATACGTCAAAAGATCACAAATTGTATCTAGTCGAAGACATTACCCTCAAAAATTGAAAAAAATGCCCTCGTGCCCCGTAAATGGGGGAAACCTCCAAAAAAATTACAAATTTAAAAATCGCTAATTTTCGAAATTTTTTCAATTTTTTTTACTTAAAAGTGCCATAACTTTTTCAAAAATGAACATATCAATATAATTCTTTTTTATATAGATGTGTAATATTATTACCTTTTGTTTGGTATGTTTTTTTCATAAATTTAACCCTTAACCTGCCCACAAGGGGGGATTTAAAATGATAACTTTTTCAACTTAACATTTGAAAATGTTCCGGAAAGTCTGACACTTTTATATATATCTTAAATTAAAGCTAATGTAATTTACTTTATTATGCAAAAAAAAAATTTCGGACTTTATTTTATCTTCACGATGAAAAAGGCTACCGAATGCTATTATTGTGTGAAAATAACTTTATAATGCTATGACATATTGAAAAGTGTATGGATCAACATTATTTTTTTATGAGAAATATTATTTTTTAATAAACCCTTTTTCTTTTATTAGGATATTAATAAGGAACTAGCAGATCATGTTGCTTTTGGAATAGTCCAACAAATTTTTAAAATTAAACAGTATCTAAAGATTTGCATCGAAGCGTTTTTTTTTTGATAGTGATTTTAATCACTGTCAGATATCATTATACTTGATACATCTATACCACGTCACCACTGTGCCGCGACCCCCCTGTGCTGGGTTTTTTTTTTTTTTCATTTTCTTTGTAAAATCTGAGCATTTGTTTATAGCAAACATTTTTTATAGTTAATTCAGTAGTTATAATTTTAGCATTTTCGACAAATTTTTTAGCCATGGAATTGATGGTTGTAAAAATTAATTCATACTTAATTTCATTGTTTTTATTTCAAATAAAAGTTAAATATAAAAATTTATATTTTTTTAAAGTTATGTTCATTCAATAGTTGCAGCTTGATGAAGGAAGTATCGATGAACTATGGCGCAAATTCAATCAGAAGGTTTTTATATTGAAATATATTTTTGTAAATTGAACTGATTATTGTTAATGTTTTATTGGCAATACTTCAAACATTTTAATTAATGATAACATACTCTTTTTTTTTTAATTTTTATCATTAACCAAAGTACTGTGGTAGCTTAAAATCGTATACATTTTTTTTTTTCATTTTCTTTGTAAAATCTCAGCATTTGTTTATAGCAAACATTTTTTATAGTTAATTCAGTAGTTATAATTTTAGCATTTCCGACAAATTTTTTAGCCATGGAATTGATGGTTGTAAAAATTAATTCATACTTAATTTCATTGTTTTTATTTCAAATAAAAGTTAAATATAAAAATTTATATTTTTTTAAAGTTATGTTCATTCAATAGTTGCAGCTTGATGAAGAAACTGTCAATGAACTAGAGTGCCGATTTAATCTTAAGAAAGATACTAATGACCATATTACCTTAGGAGAACTTATAGAAATCATAAATTCATTTGATCAATTAGAGATTGATGAAGATGATGTGCAGTTTTATGTTAAAACATTAGAATATAGTGAGTTTCAAAGAATTTTTAATATAAATTTGGTTTCAGATTTTTTTAAAAGTAGATAGTTTTATAAACTATAAATAAATATAAAGCGAAAAAATTACTGCTAATATAAGAAATACAAGAAAATTTTGAAAATGTACAACACTAGTGTTTTATTATCTTTTTCATAATCGTATTATTTTGAAGTACTTGAGTAATGATTTAAGACAATCTTACATATTTATTAGATACACATTAATGTGAGGTGATTCGATACATTTAATTTAATATGAAAACACGGTAAGTGAGGGAGAGCAGGTCAGTCGATCACATCATACATGTTTGTGTTTGTCGCGACAGGTATGCCGCAAACACAACGCAATTTATTTTCATTTTTTTTTTTGTAGCCGTCTAGTAGACCGGAGATTCCGTGTTCTTTTTAATATACGCCGCTATCTTCAATGTGTTTTTTCTCACTAAAAAACCACCACCTTCGTAACGGTACGGCGTCGCTGCTGTTTAGAACGGTCCCTGCAATTTAGTGGGGAAAAACGATGGATTTTTACAATTTTTGTAAAAATCCATCGTTAAATTCAGGTGAAACTAAAAATCAATTTTTTTTTAAATTTATGATTTATATAGCAACATATTACAAAAAAATTTGGTATATTATAGACTGGTAGTAGCACACACAAATAGAGTTAAAAAATTAATAATTTATAAGGTAAAATTATTTACTTTTGTATCTTTTCAATACTTTTATCATATCAAATCTAATTCGACATTATTGTCGAATTTTTAAAAAATATAAATTTTTATTTTCAAAATACACTATAAGTACATCTTTCATTTGACATACTTTTTATTAAAATTGGACAATTTCCCCTTATATAGGGGGCGTTCAAAACTTGAAATATTAAAAAAAACATAGATCTTTTTCAACTGAACTTTTGAAAATGTTCCGGAAATACTGCGTCCTTTAAACATATGTCAAATTAAAGCTTATTTTATGTACTATAAAATTAAGAAAAATAATTTGTCCCCACGACCTATCTTCTATGCGCAAATGGCTACCGTATTCAAAAATGGGTTATTTTTGTGTTAAAATCCTGGGTTTTGTATTTTATTTTATTTTTATATATCTTTTAAGGGCAATACACTTACAAGAAATTAAACTTATTAAAATTTTTTTTATTTTTTTAAAGTCGAAAAAGTAATTTTTAAATTTGAGTTAGCTTAAATAGCCAATTTTATCATGAAACAAGAAGCAACGAACAGTTGCCGAATCAGTAACACCTGTGTCTTTCATGCTAACGGTACGAAGTTCAAATCCGTCTGTAGCAATTTATATTTTGCATTTTTTTTGAGTTAGAATAAAATTTTCAAATCATTTGATATTTATCTCATTTAGATTCAATAATTTCAATAAATATAAAGGATCTTATCACTATAGTCTACCCTTGTGAAAAANATCTTATCACTATAGTCTCCCCTCGTGAGAAGAAATTGATATTCATGTTAATATTATTTTACTATGTGGTTCTTTTTGTGGCTACGATTTATTTTGCCAACCCTCACTAGACCTACTTTTTTCAACGATACGTCAAATGATTCATTTAAGTTTATGATATTTAAGTTAATGATTAGTTTAAGTTATTACTCTTAAAAATCGAAAAAATATTCCTTATTCAAATAAAAAGTAGCTTAACCAGCTTATTCCATACAGATAATTAAAATCATTAATTTCTAATGTTTTCAAAGTATTTATTGACAAATCAAGTTTGATATTATAATTTAATATGATAGTTTTCAACTACAAAATTAAATCATTTTACTTTGTAATTTATTCATTTTTAGCTTCGATGCGAAGATGAGAAGGTATTGGTTCTACTAAGATGTGTTTTTTTTTTTTTTTTGTGTCTGTTACCACTTTTTCTCAGCTCTCATCGAACCGATTTCTTTCAATGATACGTCAAAAGATCACAAATTGTATCTAGTCGAAGACATTACTCTCAAAAATTGAAAAAAATTCCCTCGTTCCCCGTAAATGGGGGAAACATCCAAAAAAATTACAAATTTAAAAATCGCTAATTTTCGAAATTTTTTCAATTTTTTTTCCTAAAAACTGCCGTAACTTTTTTAAAAATAAACATATCAATATAATTATTTTTTTTATAGATGCATGATGTCTTTACCTATCATTTAGTATATATTTTTTTTATATCTGACACTTAACCTGCCCACAGGGGGGGATTTAAAATGACAACTTTTTTACAAAAAATTAATTTTTTCAATTTAACTTTCGCAAGTGTTCCGGAAGGTCTGACACTTTTATATATATCTTAAATTAAAGCTAATGTAATATACTTTTTTATGAAAAAAAAAAATTCGGACTTTATCTTATCTTCATGGTGAAAATGGCTACCGAATGCTATTTTTGTGTGAAAATTTTCGATTTTGTATTTTACATTTTTAACTTTATTATGCTATAACTTTTTGAAAAATGTATGGATCATTACAATTTTTTTATGAGAATGAGTATTTATATAGATATTTCATTCGACGTACTTTTTTTTTAAATCGGACCATTTCCCTTAATACAGGGGGGATTCAAAACATAAAAATGTATATAGAAAGTAGAACTTTTTCAACTTAACTTTTAAAAGTGTTCCGGATGGTCTGACACTTTTATATATATCTTAAATTAAAGCTAATGTAATATACTTTATAATGGTAAAAAAAAATTTCGGACTTTATTTTATCTTCATGGTGAAAACAGACATTAAACTTAATAAAAAAAATACGATTTTTGTAAAAAAATTCTTTTTTATATTTTTAACTTTATAATGCTATAACTTCTCGAAAGATGTATGGATCAATATAATTCTTTTTTTTGTAGATGCATGATGTCTTTACCTATCATTTGGTATATTTTTTTTATAAATCTGACTTTTTACCTGCCTACAGGGGGGGATTCAAAATGACAACTTTTTCACAAAAAATTGACTTTTTCAACTTAAATTTTGAAAGTGTTCCGGAAAGTCTGACACTTTTCTATATATATTAAATTAAAGCTAATGTAATCTACTTTATTATGAAAAAAAAAAATTTCGGACTTTATTTTGTCTTCACGGTGAAAATGGCTACCAAATGCTATTATTGTGTGAAAATTCTCAATTTTATTTTTTACATTTTTAACTTTATAATGCTATAACTTATTGAAAAGTGTATTGATCAATATAATTTTTTTATGGGAAATACTATTTTTTAATAATCCCTTTTTCATTCGACATACTTTATCTTAATCAGGATATTAATAAGGAACTAGCAGTTTATGAAGCTTTTGGAATAATCCACCAATTTTTTAAAATTAAACACTATCTAAAGATTTGCATCGAAGCGTTTTTTTTTGATAGTGATTTTAATCATTATCAGATATCATTATACTTGATCCAACTATGCTACGTCACCACTGTGCCGCGTCCCTCCTGTGCTGGGTTTTTTTACTCTATTTGTGTGTGCTACTACTAGACTATAATATTCCAAATTTGTTGGCAACATTTCGCTATACAAGTCATTTCTAAAAAAAATGATTGTTAGTTTCTCCTAAATTAACAATGGATTTTTAGAATTATAATCAATTATTATAATATGCTAAATTGAATAACTTCTTTTTATTGGTTTTTTTAGATAGATAATCACTAAACGGGTAACGAGGGAATTTTTTTCATATTTTGAGGGTTATATCTTCGACTAGATACGATTTGTGATCTTTTGACATATTTTTCATCAAANCGACTAGATACGATTTGTGATCTTTTGACATATTTCTCATCAAAATCGGTCCAGCGAGAGCTGAGATTAAGCATATACAGACACAAAAAAAAAAAACACATCATAGTAATACCTTCTCAGCATTGATTTGTAGCTAAAAAAAGATTTTTAGTTTCATTTGAATTTAATAATGAAATTATTATCAAATTTTATAATACGCTCAATTGAGTAGATTTTTTTAACAACATTTTGATTGAATCTTTTAGTAAAAGCAAATCATTAAAATTAATACCTTCTCAGCAACTTATCGAAGCTAAAAATTTAATATACCTACATAATAAATAAAAATTAGTTATTCAAGTGAAATTCATTAAGTACTTAATCTTTTCAATTTTAGAGAAAGAAAATTATGATTTTGAAATAATTTTAAAAATATTATTTGAGGAAAAATTAATAACGGAACAATCTCAAGAAATAATTAATTTATTTTCTCGATTTTCTAAAGATGGCATCATTGATGTTAGAATAGTAGGAAATTTGGCAAAATCAACCAAAAGAAAATTTAGTAGAACTTTAAAAATAAAAATAAAAAAAGCACTTGAAAACAATAATGGTAAACTCAAATTTAGCGGTATGTTCATTATTATAAGTGTTTTTAATTTTTTATGTTTATAATTTTAATGGAATTTTTATTTAAAGTTATTATATTGATTAATTTTTAATTTATTTGATTTTTCCAATGTTTCAGACTTTGCAAATTTGATGCACGCATTGTATACAATGATAAATAAATAAAATTTGCATAGTAAATTTTTTATTAAAAATTGTATAAAATATTGAAATGTAATATAATTTATTTGCTAAGCTTTTAAAATAAATAAATGATAATATTTGTCACTCATCTTATCAAATCATAGTATAGATAAAGAAAAACTCCATTTAGATACTGGAAGAGGGTATAATATTTGTGAAGAAGATCATTTTATATTTTTTTAGTTTTACCATTGATATATTCATGTGTGTTAAAATTTATTTGGCATTTGTATATCAGATTAATTGTTTTACTGTACGTCTGTTCATTTTTGATTAATATATTCATTCTTAATACTTTTATTTTACTTCAATTTTAATTAAATTTGATTGATTATAATTGTTAGGTAAATTATTTCTAAAAGATATTAAGAATGAGTAAGATGAGACAAACGAAGTAGGTAAAATGAGAAAATTATTTATATAATATTTATTCAAATCAGTGTACTCCCCTTGTCATGTACTTTAAAATAAAATAAAATACAAAACTCAGAATTTTAACACAAAAATAGCATATTTTTGAATATGGAAATCATTTTCACCATGAAGACAAATTTTTTTTTTCAAATTAAAGTATATTACATAAACTTTAATTTTTGATTACAAAAATTAATCAAGTTTTGAACATTTCAACTGTAGAATTTTTTTAAACACCAAAATTTACTTATAAATGATTCTATGATTTCTATTAAAGTGATATGTTACAATAATGTAAAAAAAAATTTAGCTTTTCTGATACATTTACTGTAAATAGTAATCATAAAATTTCCTGACTGCATATTAATGTTAATAGTAAAATTGTTTTAATTACATAAAATTTTCTATTAAACGATATTAATTTGATCTTTAAAGGAACAAAAATTTAATTTAAAAATGTTATTTTGCACTAACTATTATTAACATATTAAAAATCAAAATCTCTAATAATTTAAAAACAATTTTTTTTTAACACGCTTATATTAGTTTCACATGATTGTTGTGGGTTGTGTGTTTGTAACTTTCCACGCGCCACGTGTTATTATTCTCGAGAATCCCGTTGTCTATGACCTTGAGACTAGACTGTCGTAACGCATTCACTCCATCCTTCACACCACACGACGTAAACACTAATCCTGTATAATTTTATATTTTTGGTTTTCGTACCCGTACACGCATGCCTGTCGTCAGTTAAATACAAATTTTTATTTTGACTGACCAATACCACCCAACTGTAATGCGCTTTACATATATATATAGTTATATATTCCTACTGTCACTGCCGTCATTTATACCTTGGGTATAACGTTCCCCTCGCCCACAAAACAAGGCTATACCTAGTGCATGATACGTTTACGTACTTATGTCACCTTACTATATATATGTATGTATGTGTATATAGTATATAGCCGCCGCATATGCCTCGCGTACAACGTTCCCCGCGCCCCGACCGCAAATAAAACACAGCTATACCTCGTGCATGATAAATTTACGTACGTAAGTCGCTTTACATGTATATATATATTCTAATTACTATTAAAAATATATATTAACACGCTTTATTCTTATTTAGAGATATAAAGTGTATTCATTCCGTTTACAAAGGATGATTCCCATATCGTCATTTTTCGTCACTACCTCCATATTCCGGTAGTGGGTAATTTACGCGCCAGCTGCTTTCCTTGGATGTGGTAGCCGTTACTCAGACTCCCTCCCCGAAATCGAACCTTGATTTCCCGTTACAGCCATAATATTGATAGTAACTACTATCATAACATGAAACTAAAAAGTGAAAAATAAATATAGTTTAAAAATACTAAAAAACACGCTTTTAAAGCACATTGAACTAAAAAGTTAAAAATAATTTAAAAAAAAAAAAACCCAGCACAGTGGATTCGCGGCATAGTGTGGACGTTGCATAGTTTGGTCCAGTATAGATTTAATCTGACAGTGATTAAAATCACTATCATAAGAAACGCTTCAATGAAATTCTGTAGATAGTATTTAATTCTAAGAAATTGATGGATAATTACAAAAGCAACATCAACTTCTATTTCCGTAATTATACCCAGATAAGTAATTCTTTTAATTATATATTATATAATTTTTAAAATTAATTATTTTAAAATAATTATTGATTTTGATTTTTATTATATTAAAAGAAATCATTTTGAACCTACTTTTTTTCGTCCTTGAAAGTGAAAGTATAAATAAAAAAAAAATTAATTTATTACCATAACTTTTAGCTCAACATGGAAGTTTGAAATTGACATCATTAAATTGAAAAAAATGGTATCATTAAGATAAATATGCAGNATTATTAAATTGAAAAAAATGAAATTTTTAAGATTAATATGCAATCTGGAAATTTTATAATTACTAATTACAGTACATTTGTCAGAAAAATTCGATTTTTTTACATTTTTATCGTAATAGATCACTTAAATAAAAATCATAGTAATCATTTCTAATTAACTTTTGGCGTTTAAAAAGATTCTACAGTGGAAATATTCAGAATTTAATTAATTATAATGATTATATATCTAAAAAAACTAATAAAAAAAAAGTAGTTAAAAAGATTTACTCAATTGAGCGTATTATAAAATATAATTATAATTGTAAAAATCCATCGTTAAATTCAGGTGAAACTAAAAATCAATTTTTTTTTAAATTTATGATTTATATAGCAACATATTACTAAAAAATTTGGCATATTATAGACTGGTAGTAGCACACAGAAATAGAGTTAAAAAATTAATAAATTATAAAGTAAAATTATTTACTTTTGTAGTTGAATACTTTTATCATATCAAATTTAATTCGACAATAAATAATTTAAGAATATTAAAAATTAATGATTTTAATTGTTTGTATGGAAAAAGCTGGTTAAGCTACTTTTTATTTGAATAAGGAATATTTTTTTGATTTTTAAGAATAATTACTTAAACTAATCATTAACTTAAATATCATAAACTTAAATGAATCATTTGACGTATCGTTGAAAAAAGTAGGTCTAGTGAGGGTTGGCAAAATAAATCGTAGCCAGAAAAAGAACCACATAGTAAAATAATATTAACATGAATATCAATTTCTTCTCACGAGGGGAGACTATAGTGATAAGATCCTTTATATTTATTGAAATTATTGAATCTAAATGAGATAAATATCAAATGATTTGAAAATTCTATTCTAACTCAAAAAAAAAATGCAAAATTTTAGAAGCCACAAACGGATTTGAACCTCGTACCCTAGGCGTTAAAGATCAAGGTGTTACCCATTCGGCAACTATTCGTTGCTTCTTGTTTNCTCGTACCCTAGGCGTTAAAGATCAAGGTGTTACCCATTCGGCAACTATTCGTTGCTTTTTGTTGCATGATAAAATTGGCTATTTAAACTAACTCAAATTTAAAAATTACTTTTTCGACTTTAAAAAAGTAAAAAAATTTTAATAAGTATAATATCATATGTCTTATGAACTTTATTCTATGTCAATGAAATTATATAATATTCATGAAAGTCAGTTTATTCCCCTAATAAGATATTTTAAAATAAAATAAAATACAAAACCCAGAATTTTAATAAAAAAATAGCATATTTTGAATACGGTAGCCTTTTGCGCATAGAAGTTAGGTCGTCGGGAAAAATTTTTTTTTTCATTTTGTAGTACATAAAATAAGCTTTAATTTTATATATGTTAAAAGGACGCAGTATTTTCTGAACATTTTCGAAAATTAAGTAGAAAAAGTTACTTTTTGTAAAAAAGTTGCAATTTTAAATCCTCCCTATGAGCAGGTTAAGTGTTAAACTTTCAAAAAAATTATATCAAATGAAAGGAAAATATCTAAGGTTATAGTTTAAAAAAAAATTTTGTTGATTTGTTGATTTTTGAAAAAGTTATGGGAGTTTTAAGAAAAAAATGACAAAATTTATCGATTTTTAAATTTGTAATTTTTTTGGATATTTCCCCCAATTGCGGGGAACAAGGGAAAATTTTTAAAGTTTTAAGGGTAATGTCTTCAACAAGATACAGTTTGTGATCTTTTGACGTATTGTTAAAAGAAATCGGTCCAGTGAGAGCTGAGAAAAAGTAGTGACAGTCACAAAAAAAAAAAAAAAAAATAAACACATCATGGGAAAATTAATACTTTCTCAGCTTCGCATCGAAGCTAAAAAATTTTATTACTTATGAATAAATGAACTAGACTTCAAAGAACTTTCATCAGAAACAAAAATATGCTTTTCTAAATCAACTTTTCGTGATGTTTTCAAATGTGCAATTAAACTTTTTCTATCACTTTTAAGTTTTAATATTGATTTACTTTAACTAAAAGAATCAATCAAACCAAAGTTGTTGAAAAAATTTATTCAATTGAGCGTATTATGAAATTTTATTAAAATTATAAAAATTCATTATTAATTCAGGAGAAACTAACAACCATTTTTTTTTTGAAATGATTTATATAGCAACATGTTACCAAAAAATTTGGAATATTATAGTCTAGTAGTATCACACAAATAGATTAAAAACATTATTAAATTACAAAGTAAAATGATTTAATTTTGTAGTTGAAACCTATCATATTAAATTATCATATCAAATTTGATTTGTCAATAAATACTTTGAAAACATTAGAAATTAATGATTTTAATTGTCTGTATGGAGAACATGAGATAAGTAACTGTTTAATTGATAAATTAGAATAATTCAATAAGTATCTTCAATTAATTGTAGTCATTTGACGTATCGTTAAAAAATGTAGGTCAAGTTAGAGAAGAGAAAATAAATGATAGTCACAAAAAAATATCTTCTCAGTTTTGCAACGAAGCTAAAACCTAAAATATAGAAGGAATTTTAATATGATTAGAAATTTCATCTCGCAAAGGGCGACTACAGTGATGAGATCCTTGATCTATATTGAAGTTATTTATTCAATAACTTCAATAATCGCAATAAAATTTTGTTATATATATATATATAACTGATGACAAGCGCGCGTCTACAGGTTGGAAAAAATTGTTGTCTACGAGTGTTGAGCGGGGTGGGGTGAATGCGTTACGACCGTCTCGTCTCAAGGCGAGTGGAAAGTTACAAACAACTCACAAACATACAGGTGAAACTAATATAAGCGTGTTAAAAATCAAACGAGTTGAAAATTTATTCTAACTTAAAACGAATTAAGAAAAAAATGCAAAAAATTTCCTTGCCATTGGCTGTTGGAACCCTGTACTCCAAGCGCGTAAAACACAAGTTTTATCAACTCGGCAACCGTACATCGCTACCGTCAGATGAAAAAATTGGTTATTTAAGCTAATTCAAATGTCAAAGT